TCTGACCCTCACTCACCTCAACCTTCACCGCTGGCAATTCAGTTGCCATGTGGAACCACTATTGTCATGCCCCAGTTACCATCCTCATCAGAATCAACACCACCAAATACTCCCAAACCACCATCCACTCCAATCGAAATATCTGATTCTGATACCCCTTCTCCAAAACAAACAGCTGCTCAGAAAACCTCTGAAAACCCCAGCAGGACTTTCATTGACTTAACCAGTCTTGACCGTCTTGCTGATCTAAAACACAAAATTGCCATCCCAAAACCAAAGCAACCAGATGTTGGCTCTGGTATTTTGAATTTTGAAACAGGTGTGCTGCAATGGATTGCTTCTTTGAAGCAAGTCTGTCCTGGGATGATTAACCCAGCTGCTTCTGATCAGCTCTGGTCACAGTTCAGACGTTGGGTACGTGCTGAAGCCCTCAAGTTGCAGGATATCAACTATGAGCAGGCACAACAAAATTTCAGCAAACTTCTGAATGAAGCTGAAAGTATGCTTCTGAAAAAGGACGTGCTCCCTCTGGACAGTGAACCTTGGTCTGAGAAACAGCAAGCTGCAAAGGTGCAACCATCAGAAGAAGACAAGACCATTCAGGATGAAAGTCAAGCAGCGGATGTTGCTGAAAGTTCTGAGAAGCCTCCTCCTTCTGATGCTTCTCAAGCTGCCTTGGACAGGCAGACTCTGGAAGAACTAAGGCTGAATGACATGCGTCTACAGCAGCGGATGGATGAAAACGATCAGAAGATGAAAGAGAGAATGGATGTGCAGGACAGCAAGATTGACACTGTTGTCAGCATGGTTCATAAGCAGAATGAGACTTCTGAAAAGATTCAAGCCATGCTGGAGAGCCTGTTCACACGCTTGCCTCCTCAACCTTAAATCTTTTTCATGCATGACCTTTTTCATGTTTTCTTGATTTTCTGATGTACTGTTTTTGATTATGTTTTGTAATATTTTCTTGCTCTGATTCTGAACTATTAATATGATTAGTTTTTCTGATCTTAATTATTTTAGCACATCACCAACACTTTTTGATTGCTGACAAAAAGGGGGAGAACAAGAATGATATTTAAATTAATAACGGCTAACTAGACAGAAACTCTCAAACATTCTAACTCTATTACTTGAAATGTTTTTTCTGTTTTGTTTAAAGTCTACAGGCACAAGGAAGCTCCTGGACACTCTGAAGACTAGAAACTCTGATCAAAATAAAGAAGCTCTGATCAATATGAAGAAGCTCTGATCAATATGAAGTTCTGACCCAAAGCAAAGCTCTAACAAGAAAAGCTCTGAAGCTCTGCTCTGACATAAAGCTTCTGATAAGTCAAAGACTCTGATAGTCTGATGCTCAAAGAAGGAAAAAGATCTGATCCTGAAGAATACGTATAATCAAAGGGAAGTAATCAACTCAGGGGGAGTATCTCCTAACTCTGACTTCTCCGTACTTCTTACTCTGATACATTTTCCAGATACCTTTTCACGTTATTTTTCATTTAAAATATCTAGTTTTTGTCATCATCAAAAAGGGGGAGATTGTTAGAACAATGTTTGAATCTACTACCCTATATTTGAGTTTTGATGATAACAAAGTGAAAAGATATAGTATTTATAAGTTTCATAAATGAACTATCTGCTGCCTAAAATTATTATGTTCTGACTTGCAGATACTCTGATTAATATAAGCAAGATCACATTTATTCAGCATCAGAACTTTATTTCAGACACCAGCATCAGAAGTTGCTACATCAGAACGTCAAAATCAGATGATCAACTCACGTACATGCTGAAGCCTGATGAACAAGACTGCGCTCAACACTCTGATACAGAAACACAATAGTTCATCAGCAGCGAAGCAGAATCAGAATGAGCCAAGCCAGAACGTGCATTAAGGAAGCAACGGTACTGTGCATTGAAAGCTAATCAATTCCAACGGCCTCATTCCAGACAAGATCTGCTCAAAAAGGAAAGCTTGTTATTAGCATTGAATCAAGAATATTGCATCCAACGTTCATCATCTCAGTGCTATATAAACAAGGCTTTGAAGATTGAAATGGTTAATGCTCTCCAAATCTCTACACGCACAAAAGCTGAACCATAATCTTCGTTCTACCAGTTTTGCTAAACCAAACTCTGATATTCCATTACTGTTTAGCAATCTAGTTTCTAAGCTTCATTTTGTGTATACATCACAGTTGTGATATAGTTTTGTAGAAAACATCCACACACTTTGTTTTATATCCTTGTAAGAAAGTGTTACCTTGACAAACCGGGTTGTGGTTTGAATCAAGAAGGCTTTAGCAGTTGTTAAAGCAGTCTGTAATATTCAGTTGAATATAGTGGATTAAGACCTCGTTGGAGAGAGGCGAAATCACCTTGACGGGTGGACTGGAGTAGTTTGAGATCAAACGAACCAGGATAAAAATATCTTGTCAATTGCTTTAGATTTCAGTTTTACAATTCAACCCCCCCTTCTTGTGTTTTTCACCACTTCAGACTTCGCTCTCATTGCATGTTACCTATAGGTTAGTTTTGTTAAGCTCCCTTTAACATGTAAATTAGGGTAGGGTTCTACTTTATCCTCAACCTTAGGGCCAATCATTGTATGATAACACTAGGCATAGTGCTAGGCTAGTTTCCCTTAGTTGTTTTTCCTTCCTTTGCATTTTGCATCTTAAAACAAAAACTGTTTTCTTGGCAAATCATAAAAACATTTCTAATAAACTTAAACCCTTCTTCAGAGTAAAAGATACAAACCAATCTTACTTTGTCTGCGTGCCTATTGGCTATGTTTTTAAACCTGGTTAGCCGATGTTTCGCCATCGCACATTTGTTTGAAGCCGATGTTTCACCATCGCATCTGTTTGCTATCCTACTTTAATTCTAAATATCATTGCTAGGTGTGATGTTTTGTCATCCGTTTTATCATTTGATGTTTCATCATCTTTGCCATGTCATTTTGTTATCTTATAGCCGATGTTTCGCCATCGCACATTTGTTTGAAGTCGATGTTTCGCCATCATATATGTTTGCTATCCTACATTGATTCTCAATATCATTGTTAAGTGTGATGTGTTGTCATCCGTTTTATCATTTGATGTTTCACCATCTTTGCCATGTTACTTTGTTATCTTATAGCCGATGTTTTACCATCTCATCTGTTTGTTGTTTTACTTGATGTTTTGTCATCTTGACTACCTTTGTTTGTCTTAATTAAAAAACACAAACTAACAAAAATATATAAGCCGAACTACGGCTGCTCTGATTCCTTAAAAGGGATACGTAGGCATTGGGGTAGGGCCCAACCGAGCACAATTTTTATTTTCCCTGCATTATTTGTTTTTCTCGCATGCATTCCCTTTTCAGTTGTAAGCCATAGACATAGGATTTGACCACACCCTTTAGATTAGACAACAAGAGTGGATACCGTAGAGTACTACGGGCGTGTGAGGTGCTAACACCTTCCCCTCGCGTAACAGACTCCCTTACCCGATCTCTCGGTCGAAAGACCGTGATTTCTTCCTTTTCAGGTTTTCTCGATGTTTACCTTTCCCTCTCGGCGGGATAAAAGACGTTCGGTGGCGACTTCATTGATGTTTCATTAACATCCAGATGACAGGTTCCGGTCGCGCGGTTTCATTTGGGACAAGATATTCCAGCATGTGTCCCGGTTTGTAAGCCAATGTTTGAGAGTAAATTTGTGCGTGATTCTGTTTGATTCCAAAGAAATTTATTGTTGTATCTTTTAACAATATGTTATTTAGGAAGATTTGTTGAAAAAATTGTTTATGATCAAATCAAACTAAATACGATTTAATTTGTGAATCAAATCAAATCTCTTGATGGATATTTTTGAAAATCAAATCAAATATGCATCTAAATCAAATCTGGTTGTTATCAAATCTGAAGCCCATTGGAGAAAAACCCAACCGGTGATTTTTTATATAAGATGACTTATTCATAACAAGAACATAATGCAAGAGATATATTTCAAGAGTGTTAGAGTCTGTTATTCGAGTCTTTGTTCTTATTGTTATTTGTGCACCTCTATAGTGCCAAAGAGATTTGTTGTTGTATCTTTTAACAATATGTTACTTAGGAAGATTTGTTGAAAAGATTGTTTATGATCAAATCAAACTAAATAAGATTTAATTTGCAAATCAAATCAAATCTCTTGATGGATATTTTTGAAAATCAAATCAAATATGCATCTAAATCAAATCTGGTTGTTATCAAATCTGAAGCCCAGCAGATGGTTTTCTATATAAGAAGACTCATTCATAACAAGAAGAACATAATGCAAGAGATATATTTCAAGAGTGTTAGAGTCTATCATTTGAGTCTTTGTTCTTATTGTTATTTGTGCACCTCTATAGCGCCTAAGTCTCATATCTAAGATATATAGGTTGTTTGTTTTAATAGAATTGTAGTTCCACAACCATTGACATGTTTTATGTATTGATCACTATGATTAGTTATTAAGAGAAAGCGACATGGGTTGTTATATTTAAGGGAAGTCCTAAATAGAAAGACACTGATAATATTAGGTCGAGAGGCATTTGAAATTTTTTGTTCATCTAAGACTAATTGTACTAATATTATTGAAATTTGATTTCCTTTCTTGAGTTTAAAGTCCTCCAGACATAAGTGACATTGCATCAAACTGAGTTAACAATCCTTTGTGTTATTTATTGTCTTATGATTTATTTTCTAGGGCTAATAGCCATTTTCCCCATGCCATGTAGGCGAGATTTGAAAACCCCCTTCGTAAAAAAAAAATTAATTTAAATTCTCACTCTGTCATTTAAAGATTCCATTGTTTTAGTCCTAACCAACTCCCCAAAAAACTTACGTGACATTGACAAGTTAGCATTTTTTTTAAAATTAAAACACAATCTTAATCCATCTTTCAATTATTTAAATTAATTAAAACATTTTGGGACTTAAAGTCACTGTGAAACCCAGCAACCCTAATTCTCAAATCGTATTCATCTCTAAACTGGAAACTTCTCAATCGTCTTCTCACACGTGTTCTTCTGTTCTTCTGTAAAACCCTGAACCAATCTTCTTCTTAATAGTCTGATTCCACATTGGGTTGCTTTCTTCAGCGTCTTTAGTGCACCCTGTAAACGAGCAACGTTTCCCACCACTATGTGCCTTGCAAAAAATGGTGCTCCCTTTGCCACCCTTTGAACATTCATGGTACTGACGACGTCCGCCTCCGTGAGAGATACACAGCCCAGCTTGCCTTTCAGCACTTCTGGTGCAAATTTAGGTTCTTTGGTTGAAATTAGATTGGGGGTAATCATATAAATGGTGTTGTGCCTAGTAACTGGAGTAGTTGGATAAATCTGAAATTGTTGGATCTTGAGTGATAATGATATTTCTCCTCCTTTGCCGATTTTTAGTCATGGATTGAAACCTATGGTTGATGGGAATTCTTTGTTGAATGGTGATGGGCCGAAACCCTAAACCGTAAACAACGATGATACAAAGAGAGAGTCGAATTCGAGTTCAGGTGATTCGGTTGAAACAAAGAAATCCAAAAGGAAAAGCTTGATTTTGATTGTAGCTCTCATTGCTGGTGTTGCGACTGCTGCTTTTCTTTTAATTCCGCTTTATGCGTATTATTTTAGGAGGACAAGGGATGACTCTCAGGCTCCAAGTTCATGTGTGGTTCACCCGAGAGATCCTTTTGATTCGGACAATGCTTTAAAGATAGTATTTGTTAATAATACCAACGAAAGTGTTTCCACTTTGACAGGGAGAGGGACTAGGAGTAGAAACAGTAGCGCGTTTGGGGAGTCTCATGTCATTGAAGCTGGAAATCTTGTGATATCAATTCAAGTTCTAAGAACTGTGACAAAGAATTTTTCCCTCGAGAATAAGCTCGACTGTGGTGGATTCAGAGTTTTTATAAGAGAAAGTTAGACGACAAGACTAAGATTGCATTAAAAAAAATGAAAGCAAGTGTGATAATCAATAAAGCCTTGGATGAATTTCAGGTCAAAATTGCACTTCTAGGTGGAGAGGACAAAGAAGAAGATGAAGAAGATAAAGATATGAATTTATTAAAAATAAATTAAAATAAAAATAGAAAATCCACATGACATTTAAAAATATAGAAATAAAAAAAACACATAATACATGTCACATCAAACATTTTGATAATTAAATATCATGAAGGACAAATAAAAAAATCTGCAAAAAAATAGAGAATCTAATTTTTTTTTACATACAAAATAGCTATTAATCCTATTTTCTATTTTAAGAATGTTATACACATTATCCTAGACATTATTAAACATTTCTATTTTCAATATATTCAACAAAAATAAAAAATCAAAAGAGAAAAGGAATAAACATTGTATAGATTGAAAATTATTAAAAAAAGGACAATTTGAAAAAACTTACAAAAAAAACCTATAAACAACTTTAAAAGTCAAGCAAGTATTTCAGTTTATGTTATATGATGAACCCAACTAGTAAATACTTTTAAGGCACTCCCCCTTAAGATATTGTATCAATCTCAAAATTATTGGAAAGAGTAGTATATGGTCTTTGATTTGGATTCTCCACTTGAACTAACACATGATGGAACAAAACTACTATCATCACAACATGTCATTGCTGAGCTAGTCAGCAGACAGAAACCCTAACTTTTCTTAAGAGAAATAGTTCAATAATGCCATCCAATATAAGCATGAAAAAGTTGTTGTGATAACTGATAACACCAATTGAAGTCAAAAGTAGGAGTTCCTTAAAGCATGTTCTCAAGTCACACAATTTGAACCAACTAAAACAGACTACATTAATCATGATGCTTTTTACACTATCCATCCAAAAAATAATTATCAAAATCCTCTCTCTTTCCTACCTTCAAATCACAGCTAAAAGTAAACAACTTTTCATATGGAAGAGTTCAATGCAAGCCCTCTACTCTAGTGCTTGTGAAAAGTTGTTTTAATATATTCCATTTATTGAGAATGTGCTTTCAAACCACTAGCCTCCAATAATGACCATTGTTTGCATGTGTAAACAAAGGTGTAATGAGATGATCATGAGGTGTTCCTGTGTGATCAAAAGTAGATTAGAATTTGGAGAGTAGTTGATATCTACAAGACTAGTACCCACCCATTTTGAACTTTAAAGCATAATATAAACGAGTAAGTTGAAAATCTTGTTTTGTTAACATGGACTGTTCAAATGTTGACATCTTTGGCCTTCATCATTATAGAGATCTGCTTTATATTTAAAATATTTGTTTATTTTCTTTTGTTATTATTCTCCTAAATATAAGAAAATAATTAGGTTGTACTATAATACCAGCTATTGCTAAATATATAAAACTACAACAATTTTACCTATTTTCTCTAATATGATATTAGAGCTATGGGTTTCTTACAAACCAACAAAACTTTGTGAGATTCACAATGATGTTTGGGACTAATATGAATACACTCTCGCTCAAAAAATATTTTATCTTAAATATTTTCCAAATTACCGTGACTGATTTTATCTTAAATATTTGATTGCATGATTTTTGTTCACGAACACAAAAATGTTTAAAAAACTTAAACTACTTACTATAAAATGCGTTTTTGTCAAATACTCTTCAACTTAGGAAAGATATAAATGTTTTGATAAAAAACTGATTGTCACGAAGATGAATATAACCTTTTTGAAAGCAAACCTTTTTCATGACGGTCTTCTTTGAGAGAATTTAAAGGAAGTTGTTTTTCAAATTGATGACATAGACATAAACTTTTTTAATCATCTTTGCCAATTTCACAAACTTCTAAAATGTATGATACTTTGAAACCAAAATAAAATAAAATGGACCTCCTCCTACTATGAACTAATTGAAATGCTACTAAATGATGAGTCATCCGTGTTAATGTAAGGTGATGAAATTGAAGAAGAAGAGAGAAATAAAGATGACAGTTACTAATGATTGAAAAGAAATTGAATATATTAATGAGACTTATGTACACCTATTTATACACAAAGATAGTAAAAGATAAGAATGACACGTAGGCTCTAAAAGTGGATAAACTTTCAAATATAACAAATACTAAATTACCATTTAATATCATCCCTTAATTTAGTATCTATCAGAAACTAACAACACCAATTTCATTCTTCAAATGAAGAAATTGGTCTGTTTTGATTGCCTTCGTCAGAACATCTGCCAACTGTTTCTGGATGCTACAGTGCAGAACTTCTAACACTCCTTTCTACACTTGACTTCTCAGAAAATGATATTTCGTCTCAATATGCTTGTTTCTTCCATGCAACACTGGATTCTTGGTAAGATTGATTGCAGACTTGTTATTAATCAACAACTTCAGAGGTTTCTCTATCTCAATCTTCAAATCTTTCAGAAGATTCAGAAGCCAAACAGCTTAACATGCAGCTACAACACCTGCAATGTACTCAGCTTCACACGTTGACAAAGCCACAACAGGTTGTTTCTTGGAACTCCAAGAAATAGGACCTCCCAGAAACTTGAACAAGTAACCAGAAGTACTTCTTCTGTCAACTTTATCTCCACACCAGTCAGAATCAGAATAACTCACTAATTTTGGTTCTGTCTTTCTTCCAGAAGGAAATAACACTTCATATTTCAGAGTTCCCTTGATATACCTCAGAATCCTGACAGCAGCTTGGTAATGAGACCACTTTGATTTACTCATGAATCTGCTAACCATTCCAACTGCATAGCAAATGTCAGGTCTGATATTGCACAAATACCTAAGAGAATCAACCAACTGTTTGAAAGTCGTATCATCCACAGAATCACCATCAGAATCAGAATCCAATTTATGATTGATTTCTGATGGTGTCACAACAACTTTACAATTCTGCAGCTTAAATCTCTTCAGAAGTTCAAGTTCATACTTCAGCTGATGTAGAATAATACCCTTCTTTTGGTACAGAATCGTCATTCCTAGAAAATATACCATATTTCCCAAATTTGTCATCTCAAATTCATTCATCAGAACTTCTTTGAACTTGATTATATCTTCTGGACAACTTCCTGTTAGCAATATGTTATCAACATATAGACACACCAGAATCATATTTCGACCAGAATGCTGCACATACACGCCATATTCCATCTCACATTTTTGAAACTTCTGCCTCTTGAAAAACGAATCAATTTTCAGATTCCAAGCTCTGGGCGCTTGTTTCAATCCATACAAGGCTTTATGTAACTTGTATAACATCCTTCCTGATTCTTTTTCACAAATCCAGGAGGTTATGACACATATACCTCTTCTTGTAATGAACAATTCAGAAATGCAGACTTCACATCCAGATGTATCAAAGGACAATTTCTGTTTGCAGCTAAAGCAATCACCAGTCTGATTGTTTCATGTCTAGCTACAGGCACAAACACCTCAAAGTAATCTAGCCCATGTTTCTGAAGAAAACCTCTAGCCACTAGTCTCGCTTTGTGTTTGCCAATTGATCCATCTGGCTTAAGCTTCACCTTGAAAATCCATCTGACGCTGATGGCTTTCTTCTTTTCTGGAAGCTTTATCAACTTTCAAGTTTTGTTTCTTTCAATAGCCTCAAGTTCTTCCTTCATGGCATTCAACCATACTTTCTTCTTGAGAGCTTCTTCAATACCCACTGGTTCAGAATCTACTAAAATGGCACACTGAACGACTTCTCCTTCAGAATCTACCTTAGTGTCATGCCACATGTCAAAATCTGTAAACCTACTTGGTATTTGTTTGATTCTCTGTGGCCTCTGAACTTGTTCTGAAGCTTCTCTAAAACTTGGAACAGTGCTAGCTTCTGGACCTTGTCTAGAACTACTTCCTTCAGAGCTACTTCTGGAAGTTTGTCCTCCAGATCCCATGTCTTCAGAGTTTTCCCTTCCAGAAATATAATCACCACCAAATTCTGGATCATCATCAGAATCTGGATCAGATCCACTATCAGAATCTCCCTGAGATTCTGACTTATCTTCAGAGTCTTCAGAATCAGATTCATCTTCTGACTCTGACTCGTCTTCATAACTTTCTGAAGAATCTTCAAAAACTAACTCTGGTGTTGGCGCTACACCAGAATCTGATTGAGACTTGTTCCAATCCCATGTTTCTGACTCTTTCACAATAACGTCTTTGCTGATTTCAACTTTGTTAGTTTCTGGACAATAAAGCTTATAAACACCTGTACTGTGGTATCCCACGAGTACTTTGTTTCTATCATCCAGTTTCCGTCTTCTAGCTTCTGGAACGTGTTTGTAACTTACAGAACCAAACACCCTCAGATGGCTAACACTTTGTTGATCTCC